CTCTCTCTCTCTCTCTCTCTCTCTCTCTCTCTCTCTCTCTCTCTCTCTCTCTCTCTCTCTCTCTCTCACCCTCTATTACTTTCCGGCCTCCTTTCCTCTTCTGGTTTCTTTACCACGGAATCTGTCTCTTTCACTCTCTCGCTATTTGGGGATACTGGGTACCATGGGGCCCGGCGTACCCCTTCTTCCTCATCTTCTTCATCCTCTTAAACCGGTCGGCGCGACTATTAATGCTGCTCTGTTTCTCCCTCGTCCTTCCTTTTTTTTCTTTGTTTGGTCGTCACGATAATTTATTTTAGTTATTTAGTGTACAAGTCTATTTAGTAAAATTCTCAAAATTCACTATTTAATCACATGTGGATTTTTGTTGTCAGTCGTGGTGACAATCTCGCTTGTGCAACAAATACACAATACACTCGCTAAATAGGTGCTCTCTCTTTCTCTCTCTCGCTTTCCTCTCGGCTTCCCGTTTCTCGTTCTTTCTGATTCTCTCCCTCTCTTTCTCACACATTCTCTCCCTTTTTCTCTTTCTCACTCGCTCGTTCTTCTTCACTTACTCCCTACATTCTATTTTTTTTTACTTTTATTTTTCACCTCTTAATTGCATGGACTCAAATCGAGTAGTAATCGGTCTCTTAAAAAATAGCTCGTGCCACCTCTTTACTCTTCCTCGCTCCTTCGTTTCTTTTCTTTATTTTCTTTAGTCAGTTTATCTTTCTCATTCTCACTTCCATTCATTCTTTCTCACTCTTTCTCACTCTCTTGCTCTCTTTCTCGTCATCAAATCGTGTGATGTACCAAAATAAACTAAATATATTATTTACTTCAAGTCTCAACAGTGTAAAAATCTTTCATACGTTTAGATGACGTCAATATAATAGTAAATCGTTAATTATAATAATACAGTATCGTTCATTATTGTAATATTATAATAATAACTACGATTCGTGTCACTCTTCTCTCTCTTTCGCTCTCTCGCTTTCTCTCTCGTCTCTAAAACTCTATCTAACTACCTGCTCATCACCACTTCTTCTTTGAGAACATATGACTCTCGCATATTTGGTAGAAAGCTTTCCTCGCTACATTCTCATCCTTCCTTTCTTTCTCTCTGTCTCCTTCTCTTGCATTCTTTCATTCGATCACTCTTTCACACATTCATTCTCTCTGTCTTCCGCTCTTTCTCTTTCGCTTCTGAATTCTCTCGATCCTAAATCAGTCAGTGTGACACTCCGCGAGATGCACGAATGGGTGGGTAGATATGGGGAGGAGGCTTTCGAGAAAGGGGGGAGGTGATGGATATATTTAATTCAAGACGCAGATGTAAGGCTGAGTAATTAAGACCCACGTGACCATACAATGAAATAGAATTTACAATCATTACAAATAGAATTGATGAAACAAAAATCAATTTTACTTTCCTATTTTCTGCTCTTAATAATACAAAATTATATTTCTCTTAACAACAAGTCAGCCAAAACTATAAATTATTCTTTGCGACTATACAAAGTTACAATTGTACAGATATAAAGTTTGTCTCACAATTGTCACAAATTTTTGCGATTAATAACCAATTGATCAACAACTGATCTCAACACAAACTATCGTTCCAACTTTTGAAGGTCCCAATTACTCCCTTCGGCTTGCCTGCGTGTGTGAGTGTACGTATGTGTGTGTATATATGTTTTCTACGGGTGTAAATCGATGCACCTTTTCCTTTAATCCTCTGTCCCTTCTCCAACAGTCTCGTTTTTTAATCTTCGCTCGCTCAGCAAGGCGTAACTTCGTTCGCTCGATAAAATAAATTAATTTACGCTCTAGCTATTGCGCCGTAACAAGTCTACCTTTTCCATTTCTTCCATTTCTTGCTTTTTCCTTTTATTTAATCATCTGTTTTTCATACACACTCTCACGTATCCTCACTCGTTCTCTCTTTCGCGCCATTTCGTGCGCTTTTTCTCTCTTTCTCGGGCGGTGCTCCTCTATTATATTTCAGATTTGCCGCCATTTGATTTGTCTTAAACTTCTCTACTTTGTTTTATAAGTATTATTCTTATTATTATTACGGACTGGTGTGAGTGTGCCTTAATCTCTCTTGTCGCAGTCCGTCAATCCCGTTTAATGACAACTATACATACGTACAAAATCTATCAAATTGTCAACCAAAACAAACGTGATGATTATTCAACTGGTTACAACACAAAAACAATCATAGCTTCTTTAACTAGAAGATCAAAATTTGGCTGTTTACGCATTTACATTTTACCAACACGTAAAAATATATTAGTGTTTCGTTTCTTTTTTTAAAGTATATCCAATCTCTTTCACTCTCATTTTTTCTATCGTTCACTCTAACTCTTTCTCTCTCTCTCTCTCTCTCTTTCACTCTTTCATTCTCTCTCGCTCTTTCTTCCCCTCTCTCTAGCGGATCTGTCTGAAAAGGCACGATTCTAAAAAAAAATATATGTATCCACTGTACAATTAAAAATTAAATATCGATCCATAGTTGATTGGTAATTAATTCTTGCAAATATAACACTCTAAAAAGTACTATCGTCCTCTTCGTACCTCGTGCAATAATCACTTATCACCGAAATATTTCATCCATTCTCAGAAACAAAGCACGACTTAATGGTCACGCTTTCTGTTCCACCGCGAAACATCCTCGCAATATAGTAAAAAATATTTACTCTTAAAACGAAAAATGAAAGAAAAAGAAGAAAGAACAGAACTCCTGCACGTCATAACCGATCTTGACCTGTTCATGGTGTTTTCACTTTTGTAAAAAAAAAAGTATTCAGATTTAAAAAAGCGTCCTCACGCGGTGTCGCGCGTGTAACCACTTTGGAATGTTTGGACGTTAAAAGAAAAAGAAGAAATGTAAAGATAAAAAGAAGACACGTGAACTCCGATGAAAGTGTGGTGTATTTGTGTGTACGTATGTATGTTCATACATATACATATACAAATATATGCATATGTATGTATGTGTATAATATATATGCATATTATATATGTATATATATACATATATATATATATATATATATATATATATATATATATATATGTGTATGTGAATATATGTATGTATATGTACGTACATAAATGAGCGAATAGGATGAAGTGCTTTATCGCGGGGAAGACGTTTTAGAACACACGGAAGATCTCGATATCAAATTCTGTTGAAAAGTTCAAATTTTTTTAACATCTTCCGACCGTGTTTGCACTTCTTCTGGTTGGTATTTCAATTATTTTAGCAGATACTGAGGAGAACTTTTACATGAAGAACACATATGCAAGATCTACTTGTTCAAATTCAGTTCCCTTCATCTTCGAATTTTTCTCGCTCACACTTTTTTGAAAATTGTCAATTGTAGTGTATGGAAGTAGTGCATCCTTTCTCTCTCTCTCTCTCTCTCTCACTCCTTTTTCTTTCTTCTCTCCATTCTCTCTATTACTCTCTCGCCCGTTTTCTCTCACTCGCTCTTCGTATATTATTCTTAGTATTTATTTTTACTTTATTCGGGAAGAGTTCTCCTTTATATAGTTCTGAGCAGCATTATTTTTTTTTCTGTCTTTCTTTATAGGTTAGATGCTCGTTAAAATACTTATTGATACTCGCGAGCTCTCTCTCTCTCTCTCTCTCTCTCTCTCTCTCTCTCTCTCTCTCTCT